ATCTGGGCCGCTGGCCACCATAATGGATGTGCCACCTTTCTATCTGTTGCTATTTGGGGCGTGCATGCAGATTCTGGGCGTGGGCCTCGCCAGCTCCGTAACCCCCGACAAATTGAGGGACTTGCTGGGGTTCGAAGTGATCATGGGCTTCGGCTTTGGCATGACGCTGGTGACGGTTCTCATCTATGTCCCTTTCCTGGTTGACCGGCGGGACCTTGGTCAGCATCACCTTGCAGCTGTCATGCATTTTCCTGACGAATAAACACAGCTGTTTCAATGGGAGCCGTAACACAGTTTCGGACATTGGGGGGCACCATTGGCTTGGCCGTGGGGTGAGTGTCTCTTCTCCATCAAACGTGTCGTCTCACGTTGTCGCAAGTTGCTGATTCGTCTACTTCTGCAGGGCGACCATTCTCAATAACCACCTTGCATCCAACCTCCCAAATCATCTCAGCCCCTCAGAGATGCAATCCATCTCCGATTCGGTTCAGTTCATAGACAGTCTGCCAGCCCCCACACGGACTGCCGTCCGATCCGTGTTCAGCGAGGGTTACAACAAACAGCTCCGTACCATGCTCTACTTTAGCGTCGCCGTTCTCGTCTCACTGACACTCATGTGGGAACGAAACCTTAAACGGGCCCGTGACATGAAGGGGTATTGAAATTACTCCGACATTGGAACATCCCAATGCCCGCACACTACTGTGATACGAACATCGGCCAAGCTTTGGGACGGACCTACCCTTGGGATTGGAAGGTTCAGACGCCGTGAACACCTTATGGAGCAACACGCAAAATTTGGAGAAGGAATCGTCCAGCGGGGGAAGCTGATGCTTGATAGAAAGACCCAATTGGGGGCGGCAATTCACGCAGGAGAGGTCGACGAATGCCCGGGGAACCGATGCAACGTGGGCCGGATCCTCGAAACGCCCAGTACGGAACATCACCAGAGTGCATATAGACTGTAGTCTCAAGCAACGCCGGGAACATCTTCCGAGCGGCATTCTCCAAGCCTCCACAACGGATAACCTTGAGGGGGAACGACAACACCAACTCTGCTCTCCTGCATGCACCTGGCATCCACCATTCACTATCCACCGTCCTGCAGCATTGCATGGTTGGTGGCCCTTTAGAGGAAACGGCGGTACGCTGCAGAAGCGATTCGCTGTCCCGCAACAGGTTTTGGCCGCCCGCAGCTATTTTGATTGCTTTAAACTGTCTGACATGCAAACAATGTCCCCGGGAACGTTGGAGAGGGGTGGAGAAACCGGCTGGGCAGAGCTGCAAAAGCCTCCAATCGTGAATCTCGATCTAGCCAAGAGAAGGCACAGCAAGCTTAGACTTCAGGTCAGCGACGATAATTCGGCGATATTTCGGTGAGTGAGCTTGACGTCAAGATCTCCTGACTCGTTCTTCCTATTCTTGAAGCTGCCTTTCTCCTCATCTGGAAAGCCTGGGTGTAGGGACTTGGCCTGCATCGAGAGGTTTTGGAGGAATATGACCAACGGGCTAGACTTCCACCCCCATCTCACCCCCAGACTTTGAATTGCGGGGTGCAGAAACGCGGGGGGGGCGCGGCAGTCGACCCTTGGTCCGGATAATGACCAGTCCAAAGCCAGGACCAGTTGGACCCGGGAATATCGGGTCTGATTGTGTGTCCGATGCAACTGTGCGGGGGACTAGGAGTGAGCTCCGGCCCAAGCTATCCTTACCATGTTTGCTTGGAGCTCCCTCACAAAGTGAGACAGAGCTGAAAGCTCCCAAAATGGGATATACTGCACTGATTCGGGGTCCAAGGTTTGCGGTGCGGCTCAACTTGTAAGGAAAACCAGGCATTGGGCTTCCTCAGATTCTCTTGGCAAGTCGGGCTTGCACTACTCCGCATATCCCGCCAAATGCCTGCTGCCGTGACAGCCGCGTTGGGCGAGAGACTGTCATCGGGCATGCGGATGTCTGGATGCTCACATTATTTCCTTGGGGGAACATCGGCAGTGAGTTTCTCCTCCACCATTGATCTACCCAGCAATTGGCAACGGCGTATCAATGGCACCGCATGAAGCTGATGGTCCTGCGCCTTTGGTGTCGGTGAGTGCGGGGAAAGCTGGGAGGGCATGTTGATCGGAGAGCATAGCCATGCTGCCATGCATTGGCTTTGGGTGATACACTTTCACAGACGCGCGTCGGTGATAGGTCGCGAGCCAACAAACGACACCGGATGACACGGACTCTGCATGCTTTGGACCAAATCACATCGCGAGGGCCACGGATATCCTGGAGGGATAGTCCATGGCTTCCCCTCATCCTCGCCCTCCCTGCCGGATCTTTGGTTTGAGATCCTGGAGGGTCTGGAGTAAAGTCGGGGTCGAGAACCATCCTGCCAGGACGGCGAGGGGTAGCAGCGAGGAGAAAGAAGCACATCTGACTTATGCATTGCTTCCTCCCATCTCTTCATATCTATTTAACGACCGCCCCGACGGGTTGGAATTCATCTAGAACATCCTTTAATCATTCGAACGCATTAGCAGTGTTGCAGTTGACCTGGCACGGTGTTCACGCCGCTTTGACAACTGCTGCTCGACCTTTTCTACTGATCCAAACTTCTTTTTGATATCCCACCAGCAACATGAGCGGAGCCATTCCGGACGAGTTTGACATTATTGTCTGTGGTGGTGGCAGTTGTGGTTGTGTCGTTGCTGGACGGTTTGTCTCATCTGTTCAGACTGACAGTCTGTCGGTGGTGTTTCTAGAACAACACTAATACCTAACACAGACTTGCCAACTTGGACCATAATCTCAAGGTGCTTCTCATCGAAAATGGCGAGAGCAACCTCAACAACCCATGGGTGTTCCGCCCGGGCATCTACCCACGAAACATGAAGCTGGACTCAAAGACGGCGACGTTCTACGAGTCCAGACCTTCCAAGCATCTCTCTGGCCGCTCAGCCATTGTCCCTTGCGCCAACATTCTCGGGGGAGGCTCTTCGATTAACTTCATGGTTGGTAAGCCGCAATCACTATCGGAGAAATCTACTAATGCGAGTAACAGATGTACACCCGTGCATCGGCCTCCGACTACGACGACTTTCAGGCAAAGGGCTGGTCTACCAAGGAGCTCCTGCCTCTGATGAAGAAGCACGAGACATATCAGCGAGCTTCCCATAACCGGTTAGTTGCCTTAATGAGCACTTATACGGCAATTGAAACTTTGACTGATATGCCATGTGTTAGGGACACTCACGGATTCGACGGGCCTATTAAGGTTTCCTTCGGCAACTAGTAAGTTCAGCTCCCCGCAGAGTCGAACCGTAATGGAAGGATCCGAAACTAACCGTCGTTACACAGCACGTACCCCATCAAGGACGACTTCCTTCGTGCTGCTTCGTCCCAGGGTATCCCTGTCGTCGATGATCTCCAGGATCTGTCGACTGGTCATGGAGCTGAGCATTGGCTCAAGTGGATCAACCGTGACGTGAGCTTACTCTATGCCATTAAGACGAGGTAAACATGATCTGTTCACTAACTATCACAATCAGACTGGCCGCCGCAGTGACAGCGCTCACGCTTACATCCACGCAACCCGGGCCAAGCACTCCAACCTATACCTTGCCTGCAACACCAAGGTTGACAAGGTCATTATCGAGAACGGCCGAGCTGTGGGTGTCCACACCATGTAAGTGATATTACCAATACTACTACCTGCTCCAAATCTGACTTTGGATGATAGCCCGAGCAAGCCACTCCGACCCCACGAGCTCAAGGGACGCACGTTCAGAGCTCGCAAGCAGATTGTCATTTCTGGTGGCACTCTCTCTTCGCCTCTCATTCTCCAGCGCTCTGGAGTTGGTGACCCCGAGAAGCTTCGCCGCGCTGGCGTAGAGCCCATCGTCGACCTCCCCGGCGTCGGTCTCAACTTCCAGGACCACTACCTCACATTCTCGACATACCGCGCGAAGCCCGGCACCGAGAGCTTCGACGACTTCGTCCGCGGAGACCCCGAGACTCAGAAGCGTATGCTTTCACCCCCACAGTGTCAAACAATTGCCTGACTTACTTGACTTTTAGGCGTCTTTGATGAGTGGAACATTAAGGGCACAGGTCCCCTCGCCACCAACGGTATCGATGCTGGTGTCAAGATCCGCCCTACTCCCGAGGAACTGGCCGAGTTCGAGAAATGGCCCACCCCACACTTCAAGGACGGCTGGAAGTCGTACTTTGAGAACAAGCCCGACAAGCCAGTCATGCATTACTCTGTCATCGCGGGTTGGTTCGGTGACCACATGGTCATGCCCCCAGGCAACTTCTTCACCATGTTCCACTTCCTCGAGTACCCCTTCTCGCGTGGATCCACCCACATCACCTCGCCTAACCCGTACGACGCGCCCGACTTCGATGCCGGCTTCATGAACGACGAGCGAGACATGGTTCCCATGGTCTGGGGCTACATCAAGTCCCGCGAGACGGCCCGTCGTATGGACGCCTACGCCGGAGAGGTCGCCAACATGCACCCCTTCTTCTCGTACGACTCTCAGGCTCGGGCCAGGGACATGGACCTCGAGACCACCAACAAGTACGCCCTGCCCGGTAACTTGAGCGCTGGTATTCAGCACGGCAGCTGGACTCAGCCGCTCAACGAGGCGGAGAGCAAGGCCGACAAGATCAAGACTCTGTCGTCCCACCGCGTTGACGGTCGTGATGAGCTTAAGTACTCTGACGAGGATATCAAGGCTGTTGAGGAGTGGGTTAAGCGCCACGTTGAGACCACCTGGCACAGTCTAGGAGTAAGTCCCTGAAGCCCTTTTTCACATTTACGAACAATCGCTCACAAATTTCTAGACTTGCTCCATGGCTCCGAAGGAGGGCAACAGCATCGTCAAGCACGGTGTCTTGGACGAGCGCCTGAACGTGCACGGCGTCAAGGGCCTCAAGGTTGCCGATCTCTCCATCTGCCCCGACAACGTCGGCTGCAACACGTACGTCTTTAGGTCCCTGCCTTCATCAGAGATTCACATTGCTGATAATCTTTTAGATATTCCACTGCTCTTCTCATCGGCGAGAAGGCGGCTATGCTCGTCGCAGAGGACTTGGGATACTCTGGCGAGGCCCTCGAGATGAAGGTGCCCACATATCACGCGCCCGGCGAGTTTGTTCTTCAACATCGTCTCTAATTGGATGGCACTGCTTTTGTTTGCCCTTACCTCCACAAAATTGGATGTATGTACGAGACCACAATACCTTGCGACTTGTATTGCTTTGTGTTGTTTGTAGTTTGTCGATAGCCAATCTCAATATTGTCAAATATGTTTCGGTTTGCCTGATGATATACCAAGATCAAAAGTCCTCAGTCTGCAATAAAATGAATCCATTGGCTGTGGTTATCAAGGGGTTTGAGGGTTGCATGGTGGACTTAGGTCGGATATCGGCAATGATTTGTATCAATTACTCTCGGGGGCCTTTGGAACACAAACTTTTTCGCTTGTGTGGCAACCGTGAAACGGCCACCGTCAAAATTGGCTTGTAGACCTGATCTGTCATCTCATATCAAATCAATGCAACCGACTTTAGGCTCAATTAGTCTAGGTCAACGCACGCTGGCGAGGACCGGCACGATCGGCCGGGTCAGTGGGAACTATTGCGTAGTTTGGCTGATGAGCTCTAAATTACGTCATGACTGAGCCTGTCCTAGTCTTATCTAGAACATTTACTGTGCGCTGATCAACTCTGAAAGAGTATTTGAACTTCAACGTAAAAGACACCTGTCAGGGGATTGTTGGCATATTTAAGTTGATGCTCAAGAAGCTTGTTTCTACTATCCAGAATCGAGCTTACTAGTGAACAATAACTACGCAATGTCAGACCCTAACTCTCCCCACATCAAAAACCGCGATACCCCATCTTGGGGGTTGTATCAGCGAGAGAACTTTTGGAAGCTGAACGAGGGCGAAGTTCCCCAGTTCAATACTCGTGAGTCTTTGTAACAAAGACACGACGCTCACCATGGATTGGACTAATTAGTATTAGACCCCGACAAACTCGAGGAGCTCGCTGAGCAGAAGTTGACTCAGAATGGATGGTACGGGCTCATTAAGTAAACTATCGCAATCATTTCCAATTTCTAACAGTAACTCAGGTACTATGCGTCTTCGAACGCAGGCCTTTCACACACGCATCTCGCGAACCGCCAAGCATTCTTTCGACACAAGATCGTCCCTCGTCAATTAGTCGACACTAACGAGCGTTCCACCCGAACCACCATCTTTGGCCACGAAGTTTCTGCTCCAGTTGGAATTGCCCCGATTGGCATCAACAAGATTTACCACCCGCAGGGCGAGCTTCCCGTAGCCAAAGTTGCTGGAGAGCTAGGCATTCCTTACAGCCTTTCAACAGCAGGATCATGCCCCATTGAAGATGTCGCCGAAGCCAATGACGCTGGGTGCGCTTCGGCTAACGCAGCCCAGTCCGCAGACAAATCCAAGATCCCAGAGTGTCCACGTTTCTTCCAGCTCTACATGCCACACGACGACGAGCTCACCATCTCCTTATTGACAAGGGCCCACGAATCCGGCTTTATGGCGTGTATCCTTACAACGGATACCTGGCAACTAGGATGGCGACACGACGACATCGCAACTTCAAACTATGCGTTCTACCGCGGCATCGGCGCCGACCTAGGCCTCAGCGACCCCATTTTCCAAAAACGCCTCGCGGCCAAGGGAATCGATCCCCAGAAGGAACCAGAGAAGGCCGCCGCGATGTGGATCGACAGCATCTGGCACGGCCGCGCGTGGTCCTGGGATAAAGCTGTGTGGGCGCGAGAGCAGTGGCAGAAGATCAGCGGTGGGAAGCCGTTCTTGATCAAGGGCATTCAGAGGGTAGACGACGCGGAGAAGGCAGCGGATCTGGGGTTCGAGGGTATTGTTGTGAGTAATCATGCTGGGAGACAGGTTGACGGGGCGATTGCGAGTTTAGATGCACTGGAGAAGATTGCGGAGAGGGTGGGAGACAGGATTGTTGTCACGTTTGATAGTGGTGTTAGGGGCGCGGCGGACGTGGTGAAGGCGCTCGCACTGGGAGCCAAGTTTGTCTTTATTGGAAGGTTGTGGATTTGGGGGCTGAGTATCATGGGTGAGCACGGTGTGAGGCATGTGCTGAGGGGGTTGTTGGCTGATTTAGATATTTTGATGAACGTGGCAGGAATTCAAAAGGTGGAGGGTATTGGCAAGGACTTACTAGAGTCTTTGCCTAAGTCTTACGGGCTGATCTCGGAGATGAGCAAGTTGTAGATCATACGTGGACATAGTTATCAGAGTCACACACAACATAGACAAACATATGCGGTAATCGAATTAGAGACTCAATCATGTTGAGTAGGACAGTGGCTCGAGCTAACCCAAGCCCTTTGATGAAGAATTTGTGCAAGAAAAGTATATGTACAATGCGGCAAGAAAGCCTTGATCCCTGAACTCGGTCTCTTAAGGGCAGTAGCAAGTGTCGTCGAAGCAGTCATAGGTGTTGCCGCACTGTAGGAAAATGGATTAGCACAAGACCACTCACTACACCTACAACCCCAAGTAGCTGCATGTTGGAATGAAAGCCGTCTTACCTGAGTGATGCACTGGTTGACCTTCGCAAGGCTGCAAGACTCCTGAGGAACGGGGTTCGGAGCAGCAACGGTAGCCGAGACGGCGGCGAGGAGGACGATGACGCTGAACTGCATGATGGATGAAAGGTGTAGGCTTCGATCTTGTGAATATGGATGATATTTTAGACTGAGATGACCACTGATGACGACTTTATAAGGAATGAGATAGGCCCCAGTGCCGATTGCGTACTGACAAGTTCATTCTTATACTTGGAATTTGCCTTACAGTCGTCTCCTGAGTTTCCGGTCCGAGCTCTACGTACTTGCCCATCTCTTAATCTCGTGCGCCTCTAGACCGCTTGTACGCCATCATCGAGACATCTAAGCTGTGGAGTTGACAGGTTCGCATCCGTATGAGTGCGCTAACGACTGGCGGATCAAGAAGTGGTTTGCGCCCGCCGCCGCTGGGCAGAAGATTGTCCGGTAAAGTCAATTATAGTATGAGGATTAAGATAGTGTCTTGGCAGCTCTAGATGGACACAACTCAATATGTGTTCCAGGAAATATGCGTTAAAGAGCCCGAATCATGGACGGATAGTTGGCAACTCATGCACGAATACATGTGGCCCGCCACACTAGTCGCGCCGGTCGTCGATCAGCAATATATCAGGATCAGTTTCATCTAGATTCGCTAGGTGGAAAGTGGCCGCAGAGAAGTCCGTGAGCTAAGAGGGTCTTTACCCTTTACGCCTTGGACTCGACCCTCAGACTCCCGAAAGCCCTTGTTCAAATCCCTTATCTATTCAGTACATGAACCGCGCCCATGGGATCGGTACCTGAGCTATGCATACCTACTACAGTGAATCGCAATACAGCTCTGCTGATGACCAGATACGTCGGTACATGGAGTTAAACTGGCGCAAAATGATCGCCAAGACATGACTCGACTTTGTGTGATTGCTATTGCAGTGAGGTCGCATGAGAGTGTGCCAAGCATTCAAAAATGAGGAATTACAGGAGCGACAGCGAAATATGAACCGAAGACCTATGAGACAATGGAGCCGTGGAAGCCAGGGACAAATGAGCAACGGCCGGCTTGGGATGTTGCCGCACCCCGAGACTCACAAGTTGTGTCTTTGAGCTATTCTGTCACGGTCACCAAGAAAGGAGTTCGCCCCCGTTCGTAACATTTGATTAAAAGACCTCTTTAGCACAATTAAGAACTTGGGCAAACGCTCTTAGGAATCAGTTCAGTTGACCGCGTCAGTAGTTGTCTTGATTGCTTAGATTTGGCTTTGGTATGCCAGCGCAGAGCCAAGGATCTCGACTGTTCCGAGCTCGTCAAGACGCTTCGCTACCTTCCTTGCAAGTTCAGCTAGAGGGCCTCCCTTCACTGACCTCTCACATTGTAAACTCTATCGCCTCAATATTGTATCACTGTTAACTATTGGTTCCTTGTTGATGCCACGCTTATTTGTACTTCTAGTGACGACCGAACTAGGGACTTGCCACATTTCGTGAGGGAATGTGGACTCAGGAGAGCCTCGATGATGATCGATCCCCTCCGCCATCGAGTTCCAATGACCAGCACTGAGCTCCATGGATTGATGAATGGCTATAGAAGTTTGAGGAACAAGCAAAAAGTCATTTGGATGATGATACATTGAGGAAAACCACGTCATTAATTGTGCTGCATGTTGGCGTAAACAATTCATTTCTATCTTACTCACATCCTCCATTCTATCACTGCCCTACAAAGATTCAACAAACAAGAGGCAAACATTCAAATTTCTCACTCCTCTTCCAATGTCTCCTGCTACAAATTTTATTCTACTCGATCGGTACAAAATCTGACGAGGGGCTGGGTGTTCTCAACGGTGCAACTACAACAGTTCCCGCCAGCTTCACGCCCCCCTCGTTCCCATATCCTAGGCGTTTCTGATCGGTCGAAGTTTGGGTCCATACTGGCGTTGTCGGCGTTCTTGAGAAGACCATTGGTCTCGGGACTGGAAGCGTCGGCTCGCTCGAGCTATCTCCATCCACACTGCTTCTCCTACTTGTCTGCATATATCCTATGGCGATCAGGTACCGCAGGCTCTTCCTGAGGGATGTCGTGACCGAGTCTTTATATTCCAGCTGGTTCTCATTTGACATCGCCCCTAGAGGCTGGCCAAGTTTTCCGCCAGTATCTTCCACAAAATGAAGGACCGGCCACAGCCTGTGGCTTGGCCCCTTCGCCTCAACCTCCCCGTGCAGGCTTCTCAACCAATGTTTGGAGTCTATCGGCTCCATTGCACGGCCTGTTTCTTCTTTGACAATGTCCCAGTACTCTCCCATGGTGAGACCGTTGAGGACTTTCTTGACAGCGGGGCAATCTTCGCTGCTTTCATGGTAGAAGCAGCTATCAAGAACGATGTTGGCTACGAGATCGACACCTGCAGCAGCGAGCCACAGGTCGCGTTCGCTGTCATTGAACATCCCCATATCTAATGCACTGGCTGTCAATCGCCAAAGGAAATCATCCGTGTTGGAAATGCCATCGGAGGAGCTACCCATGATCAAGCCAGGTTTCACAATTGTGGCCAAACAACTGAAACCAGCACGAGTGAGTCGCTCAGCGTATCGCGCAACGAGGATCTCAGCGACGAATTTGGTCTGACTGTAGGCTGGATACGACTTCAGCTCTACAGCGATTTCTTCGACATTGTCTGGAGAAGTGGACAAATGACCGCCTGATACGTAAGTCAAGCGAACTGAACGAGATGCCGTCGCTTTTGTCAAGGCCGCGAGAATGTTGACCGTGGAAAGAACATTAGCTGGTGTCAAGGCCTGGAAGTCCGCCATCCAGTTGACAACAGCCCCGTTGTGGACGACCGCATCGATCAAGTCACCATCGATACTTGTGCCATCGAGTCGAGACCACAGCGCTTCTGGAAGACCAAGATGTGGAAGAGATAGATCGCCATGCCAAACTTCGATGCGATTGACGTACTCTTC